TTCCTTCCTTCCTTCCTTCCTTCCTTCCTTCCTTCCTTCCTTCCTTCCTTCCTTCCTTCCTTCCTTCCACCTTCCTTCCTTCCTTCCTTCCTTCCTTCCTTCCCAGTGTTGTAAAAGCACTGTGAAGCAGTATAAGTGCTATTCCTTTCCTTTCCTTTCCTTTCAGTTAGAATGCAGAGTTGCAAACAAACTCTGCCCACAGTCAGCAGTTCAATCCTGAAAGGCTCCAGGTTGACTCATCCTTCCCTCCTTCCAAGGGGGGTAAAATGAGGACCCAAATTGTTGGGGGCAAGAGGCAGACTCTGTAAACCGCTTAGAGAGGGCTGGAAAGCACTGTGAAGCGGTATATAAGTGCTATTGCTATTTAATTTCGTTGTATGAGGTGCAATGACAATAAAGAAAAGTAAACTAAGTTCCGTATTTTTGTTGTTGTTTCCCAAGTCTTTTTTCCCCCTTAAACCCAAAAGAAAAGTTTTTTTTCTAGTTTCGTGCCTATCTTCGTTGTAAGAATTTTCTGAATTAACATACGAATCTTACTCCAAAAAGTGTCCTCGCTTTATGCACGAAAAGGGAAGGACATTTCGATTCACAACCACACAGGGGTGGGACTCAAAAATCCCAGCCACCGGTTCCCTGCCCAGTTTTGATCCAAATCAAAGACTATAAGTACTTTTGTCGCTCCATGGAGAAAAGCTCCTGGATTCTGTGCTTGAGGTGCGGGGGGGAAAAAATGAAACGTTGATTTGGGGGTCTTACTTGATTATGAGACGGATTCGTTGTTAAGGAGAAACGGCTAGTTTGCATTTGTCTGGAAAAATCTCCTCTGGTTACCTCGACCGCCCGCCCAACCGCAGCTTCCCCCTCGGCTCACCGCGGAATTCGAGGCCTCGCAGCTGGAAGGTGACCAGGCCGTTGCCGATCTCGATGAGGTGAACGAGGCTGTTCAGGTAATCCGAGGCCAGGATGAAACAGTCCCCCGTGGTGTAATTGCCCCAGCGGCCCAACACCAGGTCCCCGCAGAGGGTGTGTTGCAACGAGCGGGTCAGGTGCTCGTAAAAGATGGAGTTCAGGTTGTTGTCATCGGCACCTGCAGGGTGGCCGAAGCAAAGGAAGCGGGTGAGCCAAGCACCCCGGAGAAAGGAGCAGCCGGCTTCATTTCCTCTGGAAACATCTGCAGGTAGACCTCAGGGGGGCGGTGGCCTAGAGGCGGAGCACTCGCCTCCCTGTCAGGAGGCTGTGAGTTCAATCCTAGGTAGAGGCAGTTATTTTCTCTTTCTGGGCACAAATAAGAATATATCTGCCGAATCTATAACTCCACTCTGGCAACAGGAAGGGCATCTGGCCATTAAATACACAGCTCTATTCAGTCGCCCGGACTCCACCCCGCGAGGGATTATGGAGTCGTTAAAAGAAGATCTGCAGATGGTCCTCGACTTACATTTTTTAAAAATGAGTGTTGGAAGTCAGAACAGCCCTGAAAAAAGTGCCACCCCCACATTCATGGCCGTTAACGGCATCCCACAAAATCTGGGCGCATGACCGCGGGAGCAATGGCCCTCGGAACGTCAGAACTGAATCGTTAAGGGCTTTTTGAGGGGGTCTGCTGTCACTTCAAACGATCGTTAAGCAAACGGTCCTAAATCAAGGATTACGTGTACCCATCTCTTCCCTTGCGGGATTTGCCCACTGTATGGGCTGTCCGATAACCTACCGGGGTTGCGGTCAAGCTGGGTAGACAGTCGGGTGTTTGAATGATCCACTCTCTTGGTGCTGGGAAGAAGGAAGGAAGCAGATTAGATCAGGAAGAGGCAAGTATTGTGTTGTGTTGTGTTGTGTTGTTGTTATTGTATTGTATAGTCATACTTACATTTTCATCTATCTTGTATAATATCACCTCAAGTCACTATCCATCCTACTTATCTTTAAATAGATTTCCATTTCATATTTCAATTCACTGATTTCGATACCATTATCATTCCATTCATACATATATTTTCTATTCTTCATCCCCTATTATTTCCATTTTCAGCTTACCACCTATTTTATTTTACATACATCGTCATCATCCTTCGCTTTCTCTAGACCAGCATATAATAAACAATTTGAAAAGAGTAAAAAAAAGATAAATATATTTAGGATCCACATGGTATATCCCCTCAATCTATGTAATTCAATAGTTTTTCATTCCCTATTTTAATCATAATAAAATACATTGTACATTTCTATTATCCATTAAATAATCAACTATATATTTTTAGGATGTGTGTGTGTGTGTGTGTATATATGTTTTCTTAAGTTTTCGTGGGTACTTACATGTATGGCATTCAGCTTTGTTCGGGTATTTTCCCACGTCATAGTAGTTGTGCTTTTAAAGTTGTAGCGATGTTTCGGCAGAATCTCATCTGCCATCATCAGGCTTCTGTATAGTGTGATGAACACTATACAGAAGCCTGATGATGGCAGATGAGATTCTGCCGAAACGTCACTACAACTTTAAAAGCACAACTA